GGGGGGTGTGCCTTCTGGCTTTCTGTCTCTCCGTCTGTCTCTGTCTTTCTGGCAAGCGCACGAGCCTTATAGCAAAAACCTCTCAAAAAAAAAAAGATGCAAATCTTGTAAATTTGTATCAAGTATTTGTTATAATTAATACTATTTTTCCTTAAATTTTAGTTATGAAAGGTACACCTAGGAATCACCTGGCTTCATTCCTTCTAAATAAGACTACAGGATAATGATACCTATTAATCTAAAATCTTGAAAATCTTTGAGCAAGTGTATACATGCATGAACTTAGAAAAATGTTCTCCCTTCATCATAGACTTGTTTGAAACCAGGTTTCTTCACATTGATGATGTAAACTCTAAAGGTGAACAGTAGCAGGTCAGAGTTTATGACCTACCTCATATGCCACATCCACAGCTTACACTATTTGGTTTTTCTTCTATACCTTTTTGTGCTATATGTAACCCCTCCAATTCTGCATTTATGCTTTGAAAACCCTGCCAACTCATACCTGTGTGGTACATCCTCTCCTGGCCAGGTATGCAACACATTTAGGTTTGCATTCAAACTGCTATTCGACCTCCCTTGTTTACTTTGCTTCCTATATACCTTGCATTTTCCTAGCTCCTTCACAGCTACTCTCTTTATTTGGTTCTTACAGATGGAGTAATGAAGTCATAAAGCTTTACCATGCCCTTGAAGGTCAATCACTTTGTCCTCCCCTGTGTGGCACACGCCATCTGTTCCACACACTTGGAAATAGGAAGCAACTTTGCAGCACAGCTAAATGATGAAAGCCAACGTGTATCATCAAAACAGGAGTTGTCAGGACCAGCAGTTAGCGTAATGGCTATCTCTCTGGACTCCCATGTAGTCGACTGCGGTTCAAGTCCCGGATCCAGTGGCTTTAAACTCACACCCGTGTGTGTGCGTGCATGCCCAAGATCCCAAGAGGCGAATGGAGGAGAAGGGATTGCAGCGTGGCCAATCCCCCTGGGGGGGGGGGTTGATTTCTTGCTTTTCTTGCTTTCTGTCTCTCTGTCTCTGTCTTTCTGGCAAGTGCACATACCCTATAGCAAAAAGCTCCCCCTCCCCCTCAAAAAAAAACCAAAAAAAAAAAAAAAAAAAACCCAAAACAGGAGTTATTCCTCTGTCCACTTCTAAAACTTAGGAGTTTCCTATTCATCTAATTTCATTCTATAAGTGCTCTCTGAGAGATTATTTAATTTTTTTTTAAAAAATTACAAATAATTTTAAACGAATAGACAAATTGCTAAAACAGTACAGATTCCCCACATGCACATTACCCTGGGGTCCTTCCAGGCGTTCCTCCTTCATCTCTGACTCTTCTGTCCAGTAGTGGGAAATTTAGCTCCCATTCTCCATCTCGCTTTACTTATTTGCACACATGCAAAGTATTTTAATTGTTGACCTGTTCTCCTGCAACAAACACATTTCTTGACTAGAGTTCAGTGTGTATACACAGTTTTGTTTTGAATATTAAAGTTTCCAGTGTGATTTTTTCAGTAAATATGTTTTTCAAATCATTTAAGAATTATTTTTAATTAAGCAAAGAGTATTGATATAATACTAGGGATATACAGTCTGTTCCTTCATTCTAAGTAGGACTTCCCTTAGTGATCTCACTGAGTAATGCCATTTTCTTTATTTTTTAAGAATTATTTTATTTAACTTCATTTATTTACTCATTCATTTCATATTAATTTGACCAGAGAGGGACAGAGTGAGAAAGCAAGGTGGGGAGGGAGTGAGAAATCAAGCCGCCAGGTTCGGGATTCGAGACATAATCAGCCACATGGGAATCAAGTGTCCTTAACCACCACGCCACCTTCCAGCCCCACCACTTTCATACTTATAAATATATTATTTTATTTAACCTTCACAGCCATGTGGACCATTCTCATAAAGCATTTTCAATAGTTCTGATGATAATAAATAGTTCTGGTGACAGGTATATCAGGGCCGTTTAAAATATTTTTAAAAATATTTTTTCTGCCCTGTGACCCAGTAGTTAAGAAAACTGGATCTCACTTGGCCAACTGTGCAGTTCAAATCTGAACCCTGGCATTGGAAAACATGCCTGTGTGTGTGTGTGTGTGTGTGTGTGTGTGTGTGTATGTGTGTGTCCACCAAATCCCAAAAGGATGGAAAGATGGAGGAGATGGGATTGTGATGTGACCATGCCCCATTGGAGAGGGGGTGCTTTCTCCCCCTTTGTCTGTTTGTCTCTGGCAAAATTTTTAAAAATTTCTGTTTCATTCTAGTTTCATTGATAGATATAACTTATGTGATGGTAAACTTTAGCTCAATGATAGTAACCATTTCCAATAAGGAGATTTTTCGTAATTAAGGGAGTGGGTCTCTGTAACTAGATGTAGAAGCCAGATCTCAACATCATTTTTATTTTCCACCATAGCGCATATGCTCTCACCAAAGAGAAATGGAGACAGACAGAGAAAGAGAAAGAAAGTGAGAAATCACACCTCCCTCCCCAGAGGGGATGGCCACACCACAATCCCTTCTCTTGCATTCTCCTCTCAGGATTTTGGGCACATGTGCACATGCTCCCAACATGTTTTTTAAGCTGCTGGCCTGGGATTCAAACTGAGTAGTTGGCCATGTGGAATCTAGCACCTCAACCACCATGCCACCTGCTGGCCTGACATTTTTTAATATCAAGTTATAAAAGGAATCCTACTTGAAGTAGTACATTACACACTGTGTTTGATTTGTTATAACTTGTAGCCAGTGTTCATACTACGAACTCTAGAGTTGCTTACAGAAATACAGAGAAGGAAGGTAGACAAAGTGGGATAAAATATCCTTTACCTAGGTCCCAACTTTGAGGTCTCACATTTGCAAGACTAAATTGTTATGCTGATGAAGTGTATATATGAGTTTTGCTTTAGAATGACTCTATGTACCACTGAGAGGTACCGAGAATGTGACAAAGTAACCATTTTTGAATCTGTCTCTAGGGTCTGTAATGGCTGTGTATGTTACAGAATTACATAAATAGAGTTAAACTAAACTATGGAAATTCAAGGACTTGACTTTTTTTTTCCACTGAAGCAGTAGCCTACCAATATAAACAGTTTTTGAAATGGTACAATGATTTTTGGATTATGAATAAAAATCTGATTAAATACATAATAGTACTATTTCATTTTGTTTTATATCATTTGGGTTATCAAGTAGATAGTCAAAATATTCATAATTTTTAGAAATATTAGAAGCTGATAAAAATTCTGAAAATAAACAAACCTTTGCAAAAAAAGAGAGACATGATTAGATGCTAATGAAGATGATGATGATAATAATAATAATAATGAAAATCCATCAATCTCAGTTCCAAAAGAGAAGGACAACATGTAGATACTGAATTACTAAACTGAACAATTTTACAAAGCTTTTTCCTATTGTTCTTTTCAATGCCCTTCTGAACAAGTGTCAGTTAAATGAGTATCAGTTTATTATCAGTTAAACTTGATAGTGACTAATACTATTCCCACAGAGAACCAGTTCTTTGACTTTACAAATAATCTTTCAGAGTTTAGCTAAGTCTGGTAGTGTGCTTTGTAATCTCACTAGGTTTAATAAATGTTACATAAAGACTTGCTTCTGCTCTCTACAATTCACTTTTAGTTTAATATGAAAAAAGTCAATCAAGGTATTTACTTTTCTACATTAAATTCTTCTATCTGGAAGAGTGAAAATGTAGAGGGGCTTTTCTCTATTATAGGATTACTTAAAAATACATTTGCAAATAACGTGACACTTAAAGAACAACACATTTTCAAAACACGCAGAGCACAAATGTCATGTAATTGATTTTACACCACACCACTACAGGGACCTTGGTGAGTAGAAGCAAGCTGGACTTCGACGCAGAGCTCCTTTCCTACCACCGGCAACAAAGAGGCTTTGATCTTAGAGGTTCACATTGGTTCCATATTATAGTTAAGGAGAGTTCTGAAAATAAACCAACGAGCATTTTTATTTCACTTCTAATAAACACACATAGAAACATTTCTGAAACTTTCGGTTTTGTGTATTTCTTGGAAATTGCATATAGATTAAAATGCTTTATTATAAGGTGCATGTGCTCATGAGAGAGGAGAGAGGGAGAGAGAGAGAGAGAGGGAGATGAGACTATGTATCCCTGGGGATGGCAACATGACTCTTTCCTCTATTCTCCTCCAGATTTTGGGCATTCACGCCTGGCATGTTTTAGCCACCGAGTGCAGTATCTAACTGCCTTAACGGCCACGTCACCTGCTGGTCCAGGAATTGGAGCACATTTTACATGAACTATGTGGCAGCTTTCAAAATATTACCCAGAGCTCTTAGTTTTCAAAGTCAGTAATCTTTGGGACCAGCAGTTAGTGTAATGGCTATGTCACTGGACTCCCACGTGGTCGACCACGATTTGCGTCCCGGACCCGGTGGCTTAAAACACACGCCGGGCGCATGTGCGTGCGTGCCCAAGATCCTGAGAGGAGAATGGAGGAGAAGGGATTGCGGAGTGGCCATCCTCCCTGGGGATGGTGGTGGGGGGGTGAGTTCTCGCTTTCTGTCTGTTTCTCTCTGTCTTTCTGGTGAGCACACGCGCCCTATAGCATAAACCTCTCCAAAAAAGAAAAAAGAAAAGAAAAAGTCAGTAATCTTTCTCTCAACGCCAAAATGTTCATTTTAGCTGGACATTGACGAAGACTCCCTCTTTGACCAGATGTATTAGGCTCCTTCAAGCCCTCTTCTCAATTAGGCCTCATCCTTGACCCTGTCTTTGGCCTGCCCTAAGCAGAGAATCCTGCTAAATCAGTTTAGAGAGAATTTCCCATACCCCCGATATCTGATCAAAGTCCTTAGTCTCCACTCTTAACACCTAACTCCTGGGCCTGCCTTTAGCAGGACTTCTGTTAGATCAGCGTAGTAAGGACTCTCCCTACCCCCTGCTGTCTCCTCTTAGTAATTATCCATCCACTGACCCCATCACTCTGTTCTTGGACTATAAATCCTTAGCTCTCTTCGCTGTACTTGAACATAAGTTAACTTCCTCTATTGTGATAATCTTGAATAAAGTCTTCCTTATTTTTAACAAGTGACAGAGTTCTTTAACGACACTGTGAGATCTTCTTGAGGACTTTGGGCTTACAATGAGACACACACTGAAGATAACTTCAGGGGCTGTAGAGCCAGTTGTCCAGTTCATGAGGACTAGCATCGGGACACTAGCTCGTGGGCCATCCATCCCTGTCCACGTTAGGTGAGCATGTGTCCTGGCGTCCCGGGTGAGAGGCGCACATTCCATGACGATAGCTTTAATCACAAGAACGTGCTCACGTGTGAGATCTTACCCACACATACTTTCTACTTCCGTCATCTCTGCCAAACCAGAGCATCTGGAAGTTCTTGCTCCCAGGACAGGTATTATGCTGGTGATTTGTGGGGTCAAGTTGTGTTGATCGAGGGTACCCAGCCTGCTGGCTCACCACCTGCAACGTGGGCACTTGACTGTCTGACTGGGAAGGTGATGGTGGTAAGGAGGGAACAGCTACAGGGCATTTTTCTGTGCCCAATCTGAATCTTGGGATCCGGAGATAATTTTCTATGTCTCAGTGAATCTCTGAGTTGTGGGTTCCTGTCTTTAGATTAAAACGGTAACACACTACAAAGTGTTACGCAGTTTCGGGAATCAGGATCTCACTCACAGAAGCTATCAAGACCTGAGATTCTTGTGACCAGCACTCCTTATTCCTTGGCCCACTGACTCGGCCATTTCTGTTGAAAAATTGCATCCTTTAAGTAGTAATTACTGAGCACAACCTATTAAAATTCCATTTTATTTGCCACCCCAGCTCTCAGCATACTGAGAATTGGTTTTTTTTTTTAAAAAAAAACTTTTAAAAATATATATATTTAACTTTATTTATTTATTTTAATTTGACCAGAAAAGGAGAGAGAGAGAGAGAGAGAGTGAGAAACCAAGCCATCATGTCTGGGACTCAGACTGTGGTTGGCCATGTGGGAATCCAGCACCCTTAACCACCGCGCCACCTGCCAGCCCTGAGGATCGTTTTCTCGATCAGAAGTCTGGCAGTTGTCTCCGTGTCATGAATTTAACTGTGAAAATCAACTGGCTCCTGGGAAGCCCCTGGTGAATTGCTTTCGGAATCTGCCTCTAAAACCATGGCCCCTGTGTCCAACATCACCCACAGACTTACACATGGAGACAAGAAGCTCCTCAAATAATCCCGCACCTATCATGTTCTTGAAGAAGGGAAAGGGATTTGCTTCTCACAAAGTACGATGGCATCGAATGGTGCTTTAGGGGACTACCTGCTCCTATTGCTCTCCTGAATCAGCTCTAAGAGATATTTTGGAATCAAATGTTTAGGACCAACAGTTTGATTTAAATGACATAGTGACAAATTAAAAATGGAATGCCAATGGCATTTTTGTCAAGCTTCAACAAAGTTATGAAGGCCCTCATAACTTTAATGAACAAAACTCATTTTTCCACTACCTTCTGTTTATAAAGATGCCATCCTAATTTATATACGCAAACAGACCTCACATAAACCTTTTATTAGGCAGTCCAGAGCTGTCTTCAGCAATACTGGTGTTAGATCACCCATAATAAAATGTATTCAAAAAGACTAAAGAAATGCTCTCTGGGCCCCATTCTGTTTACCTCCGGC